AGAAATGGGAGGGGAGAGAGGCTTTATCTAAACTGATTAATTTTTTACATGTTTTGAGCTTTGAGTACCCATTTTACATGAAGCCTACTCTGACCAGTACAATATTTTCTAAAAATAAGGTTCTGTCTTCTTTTCGCACCCTATGTAATTTTATTACGAAAGGTAACGAGTAATATGGTCCAGTATCAAAGAGAGGCCCTCAGTCATTATCATAGATAAACTTATTTAGTGTTGCAATCACTTTTATTTTTTCGCGATGTGCTAACAGATTGTTGGCATCTGCTCTGGAAGTGACAGCGGCACCAAACCAGTACTGTGCCTGCTACAGAATCTGCTACTAAACGTCAAATACCGCTTCCATAAATATTCTAAACGTAGTTTCGAATAATACGCTATTCGATATTCGCTTTGAGATGAACTGCGATGTTAGTACTTTTGGAAGTGTCGATCGCGGCTGGTGAGCCCCGTTGAGTGCGCTTCTCACCGAGCAACTCTGCACTGCGGGAAAGCAATACCTGCGGAGCCCGCGGGCAGAGCCGTGTATACAGAGAGTTTAGTCAATGGGAGGCGCGGGCAGGGTCACGGCTTGCACCAGACGCAGAACGAGGGCTTGGCATGCTCTCTTGGCCAACTAGAAGCCGAAAAGAATCCTCTATGGGTGGTAGCGAGAAACGGTTTTAATCGTTTTAATAAGCGCCTAAGAGTTAAATGTAGTAACCCTTCATGGTTGAAAATAGCGTGCACGTGATGTTTCGATCGTGATCATGCAGAAAGATGTAAGAAACGAATGTGCCGCTCGAACTCTGTTTTGCTCGGACAGGGTGTGACCGCTCGGACGGCGAATTCCCGGCTCTCGGCGCCTGGCGTACGGATTATGTCGATCGTTCCGCTGGTCGCACTCTTCCACCATGATTTTGGATGACCGTGATTGAGACATTACGTGCACCATAATTTCAATCACCGAGAGTTACTTCGACGCACTTATCAAGTTTGTTTCTCGCGACCACCGCCAGGGTATCATTTCCGGCCTCTGGTTGGCCACATTTGAATTTGTGAAGACGCCCTGGAATACGCCCAGCCCGCTTTCAGCCAATGGCGCCTCCTCATTTGAATGACTAAACTCTGCCCGCGGGCTCCGCCGGGATTGCTCTCCCGCAGTGCAGAGGTGCTCGGTGAGAAGCGCACTCAACGGGGCTAGCTGACCACGATCATATGTCTTGACAACCCGCATGCATAATTCGTCTTTTTCTTTTTCTTTTTTTTTCTGTCAAATGTGAAATGAGAACAAAATTTGCATATAGCAAGCATATTTAGGAATCTCCCTAATTAGGATAGGTGCAACAAATTTAATGTTTACATGCCGCGGTTCATAAAAAAATAGTTGCCTAGTATATTAAAATTAACTGAGCTTAGAAGTGGGCAAGTGTTAGGAACAACATTCACGAGTTGAGCTGAATTTTCGTTGGACCATGATGCACGGTAGTGAAAGGCTAAAAAAAAAGGAAACTATTCGATATTCGAATAGTTTCTCCAATATTTGAATGGTTACCAAAACCAGTGTTTGCTTCAAGCTGAAAATGCACGATTCGCACATGCCTAATACTTAATTTTGAATTCAGTATGTTGCCACTCGTGTCATTACAAAATATTTGTGACCCAGGAAACTCACCTGGCATAAATCGAAGCGCACATATGGCACCGTGGTGTATTAACACATGGCAAAGCGTTCCTACTCGTAATACTGTACTAGGTAAAAGTACCTTGGACACTTTTTGTCGAGTAATGCATCGTACAACGTTGCATAAATATTCACTTTGAGCACACTCTCCAGTGAAAGCAACTGCGGTACTACTTGAAACCAGGGCCGTAACCAGGGGGGGGGGGGTTAGGGGGTTCCGACCCCCCCCCGAAATTTTTTTCTGGGTACGGCCCTGGTCGGTGCACTTGCAGCCAGCCGATTTTAATCTCCACCTCTGCGCACGCGCAGTGGCACCGGTCGGCTACCGGATACCAAACCGGGACCGGTTGTTCGGTTTGCTATAACTCTCCATTATATGCCACCGATGCACATGATTCATAGGCGAAAATAAGACAAAATGGCCGCCGTTGTCCCCGATAACCCCCCCCGAAATTTTTTTCTGGGTACGGCCCTGCTTGAAACACTGCGTTAGGTATAGGTATCTCAAATACTCCTGCCACGAGTGTACCGTGTACAAGACTGGATAAATACGCACTACAGATACAGATACGTACCACACCGGCGCCGCTTCTCCACCTGCGTTCGTCATGTCTGCTATTTATTTTTTTTCTTTGCGTGTATGTGTGTGTGTGTGTGGTGTTGTCCTTCCTAGCCGTGTTCCACCAAAGCGTCCAGATCATTGGTATGCGACCGACGTGTGAGCCGTCGATGGCCCGCCGCCGTACGGTCGCTCTCCGTTTTGACTGCTTTGTCCATGGATGGCGATCGCGGACAGAGGCGCCCTGCGTGCACAGTGCTCCCGTGTTGCGCGCCCCATTCTCGAAAAGCCCGGTCGCTGTGGTCACGCATGGGGGTCGAAACAAACAGCCACGTCTGCGTTTAGACGAACCGCCGCACGATTCCGTTGGCGTTCCGATACCGTCGATAACGATACGATGCATGCGTAAAGGCGGCGGTGGAGTGTCGGAAATCGTTATCCGAGTCATCGGAAGGACTCAGTAAAACACTGTAGTAACTATTCATCTCCGCGGTTAGAAAGGGTGGCGGTCCATCGGGGACATTAATCGCTTCCAAATGATCGACAGATTTCTACACACTAGAAGTATGCTTACTTCAAAATACTCTACCCAAAATACTGTATTTCAAATACTTTCGGTGTAGTATTTTGGTATCTCTAAGATGCATTTGATTGGGGGTGCTTGTTCCTATATCTCAATTAAAGTTTTTCTTTTTACTATCTTGTACTCGATTTATTATTATTTTTTATTATCTGAAGACATTTGTTGCTACAATATTTTACGGAAATATGGATCGGCGGAATTGATTTCAAACAGGGATGGGCAGTATTTCAAATACAAGTATTTGAAATACGCATTTCAAATACAAGTATTTGAAATACGCATTTCAAATACTTTGTGTATTTTGCATTTGTATTTAATTACAAATTGGGTAACGTATTTGACGTATCTAAATACTAAAACGTGGGTATTTCAAATATAATTGTAATTAAATACAATTTTGTGGGCGAAAATACATCCCTCAAATTTATTGTCACGACTCAATTTTCTCATCCTAAGACGTGTCCAGAGCAGGAAGAAAACTACGTTCTGCACCGAATGCAGTGTCTCTGAATCAAGCACAAGCGTTTAGTGACTTTGTGGTTACGGTGCTAGTCCAGGGCAAGAATAGTGACGAAATCGACGCTCACAGGCAGACTGGCTAAATGAGTGCCTGTGACAACTTGTGATGCTCTTCAGCCTGATTTCCATCCATACTTTTGACTGGAACATTCTAAATGAGCGGGTCGTCCAGACTGTCGTAACTGGTGCGAGTTGCAACAATAAGAAATTCTCTAGCTAGTGCTGCGCGTCTTGGTCGTCTCGGTTCTTTGTTGGTTTATGCCAACATGTAATCGACAAAAAAAGCTGCTTGAAGCTCTGTACTTTTTTCACCTATCACGTCCAAGCTGATTATATATATATATATATATATATATATATATATATATATATATATATTCTTTTTTTGTGATTATATTTCTATTACGTTACTAGAGCCTCGCACACTAACTCCCGAGTGTGCGATGCAAAATTAAAATGAGATACTCAGAAACCCGTTGCAGGTGCCCTGAAGTCGCTGACGCAAATTTTGAGGAATGTATTTGGAAAAGTATTTGGAGGAGACCAAATACATTTGGTTGTATTTGTATCTTGTACTTAAATGTTTTTTTTTTTTGTTTCTTTTTTTGGAAATGTAATTAGATTTGTGATTAAATACATTTTTGACGAAGTATTTTGTATTTGTATTTCGATACATATTTGCATGTATTTTGCCCATCCCTGATTTCAAACTAGGAGCGGATGCGATCGAACACAGATATCAGGAAACAAGCCATGGCCAAAGATGCCGGCCCGAAATGCCAACAAAAGAACAATTAGGAGGAGACGACACCAAACGAAGACACGCGTTTATTTTTTTTTTTCTATTTTTATCTTTGATCTTGATTACAGAATGCGAAAGTAATTGAATTATATTCCCAAGTATTTGGTAGTGTATTCAAGATATTTTGCAGCGAAAATAACTCGAGTAGAGCTTTAAATACTTTCTGAAACACGTATTCATTAACTTATATGAAATACTCGCGCCGAACATCTTGTCCAACGCTGCTTGACGGATATATTTTTCTCCTTTTAGCTTAAAAATCAAATTAATTCGCACTCTGTAAAGTGTGCCGAAAAAAGGAAACATCTTTTTTTTTTTCTCCACACTTACAATGGTACATTCAATATTATTAATTATTATTTTTAATCTCCGCTGCTAGGGTCACTGATAGTACGAGAACTGCAGGGGGTTATCCAGTTGTTCCGCCTCCGGCGTCAACTTCCTGTTTTCGGTAGCACTTCGGCTGCTGGTGAGTCTGGAGCATGCTCACGCAGTAGAAGCACGACGGAAGGCAACGCGAGCACGTGCCGGAGGCAAAGCATCGGAAAGAAGCGCCCTGTCGTTCCCATTCTGTCTATGACTACAGCCGCAGATTATAATGTCAGAACGTTTTATATTTAAGTGTAAAGAATGCCAGGTTGCCCCCCCCCCCCCCCCCTTTTTTTTTTCCCCTAATATAAAGAAAATGTACAGTTGTTGTTTTTACCGGAAACATAAACTGCACATCGCAGAACGCTCATTCTATGCACATGTGTAGCGTTAGCGGTCCGAACCAGGAATCCAAAGTTTCAGAACAAACCGTTATCTTATTCAAACGTTATATAAGTGATTTTTTCTGAAATTTTAAGACGATGCTTGCCTGTTGAAGTCGAGAGCAGCGGCGATGTGGCGACTGGCATCGCCGCTGGGGCCCACGTGGTTCGGGGCACGGCCTGTTCTAGCATATTTGGCGGGCCGATCGACGGGCAGCTTGTATTGTGTGGCTACGAAACTGCGCGGGTCGAGGTTTGTACGTTCAGCACGTCCAGGCGCTCGCCGCCAGACTAAAAACGGGCCCCTCGCAGCCAGTGTTGCCAACTCAAAAATTGAAAACCCGCAGTCGGAATCCCGAAAACCGCTAAAAAACCGCTAAATCCAAAACACAGCGCAAAACGACTTTTTAATTTTTTTTTTTTTTTGCTTTAATTCTTGACAAAGGTATAATAACAGTATAGATCATATCAATGTCATCTGAAAGGAAGCCTTCCTTTTGTTTTGACTAGAAATTGGTCACGCCACGGCCACAGTTCACCCAGGTGATCCGAAGCCAAAAATTGCAGAGTGAGCGCATACGAGCATGGCAAAGGACTCTTCAGCAGTGTGTGACTAGTCAGACCCGTTCAACTTGTAGAGTCGTCTGCTACCAGAGGAGAAAGGTGCGGCGGCCGAAACATGCTTCTTCGTTGCAGCGTGCATGACCAAATCCACATTCTTCGCAGGCAGTTCCGTTTTGAAATAGCGGCACCTGGCTCGTCTGCTATCACCAGAAACCTCCAGTAGCCAGTCTTTAAGTTTGGGGTCTTATAGCCAGTCTTTTCTAAACTTGTGAGCGTACTTCACTGCGACCATTTCACGGAACAGTGAGAAAAACGTCAAAGGAAAATTAGACCATTCAGGCTGTTCAAACGGGTGCGCACAAAACGGGGAGGCTTGTTCCGATATTCGACGTCTTAATGTTTTGATGACGTCACAGGCGTTACATTCACAAACCAGAACATTACTGAGAGTCAGCGAAGACGATAGTCTACAGCAAATCGATATAAAACTGCTATATCTCTAAAAAACCGCCAAATTTATATAAAACCCGCTAAAAATCCCGCCGCCCGCAAAACAACAATTTATCCCGCTAAACAGAACCAAGAACCGCTAAGTTTAGCGGGAAAACCGCTAAATTGGCAACACTGCTCGCAGCCTCGCAACAACAACCCCTCCCGGCAAAGGGGAGAGGGTAGCGAAAGGGAGAGAAGGATGTAAGAGGGGGAAAAGGCGACGCGTCAACGAAAGGATGGAGTGTGTGCGTGTGTGTTAATGTGTCCACGTGTGTGTGTGTGTGTGTGTTTGCGAGTGCGTCTGTACCAGCGCGCTCGAGCGGACGCCTCAGCTCGTGATTGAAATGAACTCGAGTGGCGGCAGGTTCAATCAATCAAAGTTAAAGAGAAGGGGAGAGTAAAACTGCGCCTTCTCTCTGACTGTTGCTAAAGGAGATGTAATCTGATAGCATTTAGGATCGCTTGCCTGCTGATCGAGTCACGTCACAGGGTCGCGTGAGGTCGCATGACGTCAGTGACGTCACGCGGTGTCACATTGTAACATCACGTGGCAGCGTGACGTCACAGTGATGTGACGCCACGTGACTCTCTCACGTCATCTGAGGCATTGTCATTGTCACCTGACTTCACAATGCATCAATTATACCTCACTTTGGGTATTCGTGCTAGATTTAGTCGGGAACCGCTTTGGCAAAAGAGTTCCTCCGTTGAATTTAACGGTATTAAGATGGCGGTGAAAGGTTAAGAGTTCAGGGGAAGCTCCTCCTACCTCTTTCCCCTTCAGCGGAGCAAACGGTGGAGAGGAGGTCGCCTCCTGTCCAGCGCTCGCTCTGCTAAAGTGGAGAGTGCAGGGAGGCTTTGTACAGGTAAGATCATGCACGTAAATTCCAACGTGTTTTTTTTTTATTATTATGATTAAATTATTCCTTAGCATGTGTAGGGAACGTAACCAAAAAGATATATTTTGCTAAAAACATTGTATTTGAAGAGAACCAAAAATTTTGAGTGTTCCCGAACGGCATATTAGATTTTTGAAGTTTTCGTTTATGTCATGTCTGGTGACACCACCTATTACACAAACTACAATTATGAGAAATCTCAAATATTTTCCACTTATAATAGAGCGTTCGAAGTATTGAGTCGCGCTACTTACAGCCTTGTAGATGCTATATATTTTTCGTCAGAATGCGCACACATGGCTCCTTTGGCTAATATTTATTCCGATATTCGCGATGAAGCGGGAATGTTTGAGCACGACTTCATTGCCAGACTTTCAGTAGGACGTCCTTTTTAAGATTAAAAATATTTGTAATTATTGATTCTAATAAAAATGTGTAAAAGAAACATAGAAAAAATAACGAGTACAGATATCTAGGGGCTGGTTGGGGAGGGGGGGGGGGGGGGGATGGAGGCGGGCGACGAGGGGGGGGGGGGGGGGGGGGGGTCGCAGCGGGCCACCGCCCCGGGTGCCGCTGACCTTGGTGACGCCACTGAGTCTAACCATGTGGCAATCAGTTCCTCCGAAAAGGAACTTGCACCCGGAGAAAACGGGCGATAATTGCGTGCATATGTGCTCTGCGGTCCACGCCGTCTCTGGTTCCCTTTTGGTTCACGCTGCCTTGTGGGGTCTGCTTTCTGTCTGAGCGCGCCGCCTTCCTGCTTTAGCGCTGATTAGGTCGGTGCCGCTAGTATTGCGCGCTTCGCTTTTAAAGCTCGCGTCATTTCGCATTTGACGCCGGCGTTGGCTCCAGGGGACTTGTTTGTTGACAGAGGTGTTGCTTTGCACCGGTGCCGCCAGCGAGTCAAAGCGATAGTACGTCCCTCTGCAAACTGCGTGCACGTGGAGACAGGACTACAACGGATGCCCTTCAAACGTCGCCACTCTGATAATGGTTTCATGGGTGGTCGCAGGGATGAGCAAAATACATGCAAATATGTATCGAAATACAAATACAAAATACTTCGTCAAAAATGTATTTAATTACAAATCTAATTACATTTCCATAAAAACATTTAAATACAAGATACAAATACAACCAAATGTATTTGGTCTCCTCCAAATACTTTTCCAAATACATTCCTCAGACTTTGCGTCAGTGACTTCAGGGCACCTGCAACGGGTTTCTGGGTATCTCATTTTAATTTTGCATCGCACACTCGGGAGTTAGTGTGCGAGGCTCTAGTGACGTAATAGAAATATAATCACAAAAAAAATGTAATCAGCTTGGACGTAATAGGTGAAAAAAGTACAGAGATTCAGCAGCTTTTTTTTGTCGATTACATTTTGGTATAGACCAACAAAGAACCGAGACGACCAAGACGCGCAGCATTAGCTAGAGAATTCTTTATTGTTGCAACTAGCACCAGTTACGAAAATATGGACGACCCGCGCATTTAGAATGTTCCGACAAAAATATGGATGGAAATCAGGCTGGAAAGCATCACAAGTTGCCACAGGCACTTATTTAGCCAGTCCTGTGAACGTCGATTTCACCACTATTCTTGCACTGGACTAGCACCGTAATCACAAAGTCACTAAACGCTTGTGATTGATTGAGAGACACTGCATTCGGTGCAGAACGCAGTTTTCTTCCTGCACTGGACAGTGACAATAAATTTGAGTGATGTATTTCCGCCCACAAAATTGTATTTAATTACAATTGTATTTGAAATACCCACGTTTTAGTATTTAAATACACACGTCAAATACATTACCCAATTCGTAATTAAATACAAATGCAAAATACACAAAGTATTTGAAATACGTATTTCAAATACTTGTATTTGAAATACTGCCCATCCCTGGGTGGTCGTGTGGATCTTTAGGCTTAGCGGCTTTGCTTTGCCTTCTGATCTCTGTACGTCGAACGAAGCAAGGCGAGAAAACGGTTTCCGCATCGCTAGAACGTCATCTTGTAAATACACCGGTGACGTGGTTATCGGCTGTTTTGCCCGGATACATTCAGGATTAGTTTTGTCTGCTATTTCAAGAAGAGCTCGCTGCCACGCACCTAAACTGAGATAATCAGAGAGCCGGAGCTGTACTTCGTCCGTAAGGCTTTCGAATTCCTACCGGAACGCTGCGCCCGTGAGACAGCGTCAATCAGTTCGTGCATTCCCTATTTGCCACATTCTCTCGCATTGATTGCAATTATTGCAATGCATATGAGTTCTTGGAGGAATTCGTCCCTCTGATTTAAAAAACAAAAAAAAACGGACTTTTTAACGATAATGTAGTGATTGCGCAGGCGAGCTTGTGGATGTTAACCATTTTGTTCTTAGCCCGAGACTGAGGCAAGAAAAGAGGAAAGTTTCAAAGTAGAAGAAAAATGAACATAGAGCTGTGTTAAAGGCGTGTCCTCGACTGTTCATTTTTCTTCTACTTTGAAACTTTCCTCTTTTCCTGCCTCAGAGTCGGGCTCAGAACAAAATGGACTTTTGAGACACCTTCCTGCCAATACAGGCAGCTATAGCGCTCGATATTTTTACTATTTCTTTTTTTTTTTTTTTTTTTTTTCAATTTTATATTTTTAAATGTATTTTATTCAAATAAATATAATCACTTTTTTTTCCTTTTTTTTTTTTAAATCTTAACGGGCACTTTAGTGAAAGTCTGCCAGAGGAAGTTACGGGTTTACATTGGCCAGCCAGCCCGGCCTACAACCGTCGTGAATAGCAGTTTAATAAGCTTGGTGGCGCAAACATTCTCACTTCATCGCGAATATAGATATAAATATTTCCACATAATTTGCACCACTGTTCTTACTTTTCTAATACTTTATGTAAGAAAGAAATGGCAGTAGTAGCGATTACAAGCGGAAAAAATTGGCTGAAGCTCCTAGAACTTGTAACTTTAAAGGGCAAAACGGGCATATTGATTCAATAAATGCAAAGCAAGAGCAACGCGGGTATTGTTTTAATTAGTAGAATACTTTAACTTGAGCCCAATATCCGAATACAGTACAAAAATATATCCAGTCATAAAACACACATAATCAAAAGATAATCCCGTGCTTGGCATTGGACGAAAAAACCGGCGTGGAAGGTCAACTTTGCAGCGCTGTAACTTTGAAAAAAACAAAATGAAGCAACACGTTTTTTTTTTGTTTTTTTTTTTTATGAATAAACACAAGAATATGGTGGAAAACTATCACTATAAATATTTAAAAAAATCGAAGATGGGTCTTTTTCTTAAATTGCCCCCTGACGTTTCTTAACTTTGTACTTCAGAACAAGTTTGGAG